TCGTGTTCACACCGCAGCGGAGCAGCCTCTTAGCTCCGGAATCCTTAAATTGTGCATTATAGAATGATCACACAGGTGACAGTACTCTTCAAAGGGTTCACGAAATATGACTACTACTCTTACTGTTTAACATTTTGGGTTACTTAATGTTACTTCATATTAAGGCTAATAAAAATGACAAGGCTGTAATGCTAACTAACGTGCTAGCTACTAGCTAGGTAGCTAACTTGATCCAGCCACTCCTGGTCCTTTCATCAGACGGGAAGCGAAAGAACGAGCAAGACCCATTGCTGGTATGATAACAACCTGGTACTAAGCACACAGGCATCTTGTTAAAGTTATCTTATCTTAGCCAGCGACATATAGATAGATTCTATCTATATGGCGCTGATCTTAGCTATCTCTTAGTGGAGGAAAACAATTGTGATATCACTTACGCGACTCTGGGATTTGTAGTCTTTCTAGTTGCGTATTTTTCACAGTCTTATATTTCAACAGTTTTACGACAAACTGTGACTTTTTTGACATGGAAATTATTTTTTAAGATTGACAAACATCATATGTGTAATTCATGGCACTATTCAAACGGGATCGAAAGATACGTTTTCTCTCTCCATTGACTTCAATACATTATTTTTCCGAAATAAGGTCCCATGGACCGGAAGTAGATGGGCGTGACTTCTATTGACCTATTTGGATCAGGCTGGAGCAGGTGGGATTAGACTCTGACGTCGCTGTCAAGCGTTAGTGGCCGACTCCGCCTACTAAGGGCTTCTCGGCAACTCTGCAGAATCCTATGGGTAACGTCACTAACACTATGTCCATTTATATGTACAGTCTATGATTGTACCGTAACCATAGAAGTCCAAAAAGCATCCCATTGGGCCGAAAGCCAAATACCCAGGCATAAACCCTTCCATTGTTCCAAAGGCTCATAGCTCATAAATACTAAATATACAGCCAATATGACAAGCCGTTCTATGGTTGTTAGATATTTTTGTCAATACTTCAAAACAACAAAGTCGTTGAGCTAGATGAAAAATCACAGCATCATAAAAGTATGATACATTACCTGGGAACCACAAATGTCTGTAGTCATATATAATAGTTATATTTCAGTTTCAACTGACATACTGCAGTGTTTTCCTTAAACCCACACCTCTAGCATTAGTTAGGCATATTATGAGTAATTATTCTCAAATCCAAAAATGTAGCCTTGAGGGACTGTGGGTGAGCAGCATGATGTGTTTACCTTGTAGGGTTGAAGTCCTCCAACAGGAAGTATGAAATGAGTGTGGACACAATGATGGACAGAGAGGTGGCGAATCCTTTGAGGATGTTGTCTGCATATTTAATGACCACCGCTATGACCAACCCACCCAGGGCCTGCACGCAGAGAGTTTCAAATTACTCTAAACAGTGTACACTGAATTCATTTGATGACATTTCGATGAATGTAAGAATGAGAGAAACATAATGATCAAACCTGGAAGGCAACAACTGTGCAGGTGATGGTGTTGTAACCCTGAAACATTCCCGATTCTCTAACCCTCTCGCCGTCATAAACTGTCATTCCTACAATACCGAACACAAAGCCAAACAACCCTGAGGAGAAAAAGAGAGTAAATTGGTCATATTTTAGAAAGCAAGTGTTATCGGTTTTCCTCCTTTGACATCCCCACTCTGCTCTGCCTGGAATACTGATAGACCTACTTTAGCTTGTTGCTAAAGTAAGGCTATGTGCTAGCTAGCTACTGCTGTTAACTAGTTAGCTGTTAATTCAGTTAACCGGCTTCTGTTCTACTTTTCACATCTCACATAAGAGTTTTGACTGTCAGGAGGAAAACATTTACAGACCCAGGGTGGGGTCTGTAAATGGCGCCAGTGTCAAAGCTAACTTGCTATGTTTTCAGGATTAGCTCATGCTCTATTGTTGGCATGTGTTTAGCTTTTAAATCATAAGAAATGCTTGTATAGCCTTAGCTCTAATAATTCCTTTTAGAAAACGTATAGAGAAATAACAGGAAAAAAAGAAAAAAATGAGGACAGTTAAACAGGATAACAGTGTAATAATGAAAAGAAATTCATCAAAAAGTCTATCCCTTAACTTTCTTCAAGGGAACTTTATTATTATGCTCGATTCATCACAAAAGACGGCCATTTTTTAAATAACAACAACTAAAGTATAAGTTCAAAGATAATACTTGTTCAAATTTTATATTTGGATTTTATTTTAGTGCAACAGAATCACAACTATTCTAGGTTCAACGTGAACACGGAATTGACATTCATAGAGAGGTTCATTTGTATTATTTCATATTTTTTTGTTAGTTTCAACGTTTGTTAATTAACAATAAACAGTCGTTTAATATGGTTTAATAATTAATCTTTGTTGGTAAAACTCAGCCTCAAGGTGTCAAGGCTTAACAGAGTTTAACATTTACTAACACACACACACACACACACACACACACACACACACACACACACACACACACACACACACACACACACACACACACACACACACACACACACACACACACACACAGCAGTGAGTATAATAGTGGGCCATTCCCACACCCACAAACGCCTCCCAGTGGTTGCTTCGCTTGTGAATTTTCATGGTCACAAAAATCATTGAATTGAGATTTTTCAACAGGAGGAAAAAAAGAGGAAAAGAGAGTACGTAATCTGTGATCTTTAATCTCCTGCCCTCTGCTCTGCCCCATAAACTGAGATGGCCTCATCACACCAACCTGTAATTAGGGAGTGAGAAAGTTGTCTGATCCAACTTTTGTTGTTCTGTCCCAGCCATTTGGGAACAAATAACTATTTTGAATTGTTTGTGAGACCATAAGGGTCAAATAACAGGGCAAGTCTGTAGCTGGAGAGACCAAGAGAGGGAGGGCCTTAAAGATGGAAATAAAAGCAGAGATTGACAAATATTTCTCTGAATCCAATTCAGTTTTGTTAAATGTTAGATCGACTTTCAAAGGGAACATTTGATTTCTTCTCTTATTAAATGTATCATAATTTCATATCAAATATAAAAACAAGATAAGAGAAGCTGTTATGATATAACATTTCACCAGATTGAGAATATGGTAATTTCAGTTTTGCTTTCCATAACTACCTTCTGGTGAAAGTCCTTTTTTTTACACATTCATTCACATTATTTTCTAATTAGGCTATCCCATAACAGCATAGTATTGTTTTTCATCTTCTGAAGTAGTGTTGAGCCCTCATCGCAAAATAATACATAAATATTTAATATATATATATTTTATCTTCACAAGCATACACTACATTAGCTCCTTTAGTGTGAATGTAGAGTGGATGGGGACTTTCATATGCACAACTGGCAGAGATGCTGCGATTAATGCATGACTAAAGAGGAACATTCAATAGAGGCTTATAAGAAGAGCCATTCTGCAAAGGTAACACAATTAGTGCTATTAGAAAAAACTGGAGTGACACCTCCTTATCTACTGTATGAATATGTATGTGTCAACATTAGGTATGACAGTGAAACATTAAAATGTCAGTAAGGATTTTATGATGCTGCACATTTATACTGGTTGAATTACACCTTAGATTGGCTCTACTAGTTTGATCTAACAGCTTAGCAGATATATAGCAGTCAAAGCTGTTTTTCTGGTACAATCTTCTAAAATAATAGTTTATGATGAGTACTTAAAAGCTGTAACTAAGGTATTTCTCAATCTTGATCAACCATTAATTAACCCTTAATAGTCCAATATTATCATTAAAGCCAACGTTTGTGTTGCCAGGTTGCCAAAATTCCCTTTCCCCAGCTTGAACTTTTCAGTTAAATGTGCTTTGTAGGCATGACAATTTAGAAGATGTGTTGCTACAATAAAGAATTTGTATTGAAAATTATTAAACCTTTTTATCAGTTAATGTTTGTGACCAAAATAACATGAATTTGTGTCCACGTGTGAGGGCAGGCTGTTCTCATACAGTGTTCATTCAGTACTTACAGTATGCCTATGAAAAGTGGTGTGCTAATTCCTTTTCTCTAATTCTAACCAAGTTGTTTGGTTGCCTAAACAACCACTGCTCAGGTGCACTGTTTGCTTGTGTTACTGGATATTTTTTGAAGAACCCACAAAGATTTAAAAAAGAACTATGAGGATATGTTGGCCAAACACACACAGGTTGCTGCTCTTTGTGTAGCACTAAAAGGTTTGAGTCATTTAAAGCAAATGCACCAGCACTTAAAGTGGTTTGACTTATTAAAAGGTAATGTACTTGCAGGATTATTTCTGTCTGAGTAAGGATCTTCATGGATGATTGCACTCTTTTTAAGTCGCCTGGATAAAAGCGTTGTTAAATAATATGTAATGTTATGTAATATACTTCCTCACTGCAAATTGGGGTCCAGGTGTCCTGCTTTGTGTGGAACTGCTCCGAATTTTATTTTATCCAATGGCGGTGTAGAAATCAAGAGAGGGACTATTGCCTGCAGTCAGATGTCAATCAAGCAGCTCACACAAGGGCTCGCCAACCTGTCACCAGTCTCCTGACCTACACTGAGAAACGTTGACCTCAACTAAATGTAGAGTTAAAGTTGAACCTTTTTTATTTAAGGTTCAACTTTATATTATTGCTTTCAACTAACCTACAGTACAAACAATATAGTTATGTGAAATTTGTTGACATAATACATTTAATTAAAGTCAACGTTTCAGTTTTTCCAGTGCATGTCACGCCCTACTGGAACAAAGCAGTACAAGCTACCACTGCACCATGCACTTTTTAGCGGAGTATGATGGAAACTATTAAAAGAAAAGGATTTAATCATGTGTGAAGCCAGTGGTAGGCATGGAGTTTTTCTTTGCAATCTTGCATGGAGGTAATATGATTTGAAGCGACACACTACATGCAGGACTTAATTTCTAAACTAATGGTTTCAGTAGACGTTTTTATTCAATCCGTTTGTATGGAGATTATATCGAAATTGAAAATACCTTTCAGCGTCGCAGTAACTTGTCCCACATTGTCCCACACAAACATGGTCTTTGTCCCAGATTTGGCTTGTTGGAACCTGGTCACCCTACTGCAAAGAGGGCCCGGCCACCAAAGATTTCCTGGCTCCAAAAAGTGAAACACTTTCTTCCAAATAACAACCCCTCTCTGTCTCTTTTTGTCTATACATGTAGCACTTGAAGTAAATCAACATATTTTATGAAGATAATGTACTTGCTTGATTCTTGCACCTTTCTGACCTGTACCATACAATTAAATGCATACGCATAGCATCAGCTGATTAAATGTAATGTACGTTTACTCAACACATATAAGTCCCAAACATACGGAGGCCTTGGTTACTCACCCAGTTGTATGTTTCGGACCCACACACTCTGCTTAGTCTCCTTGAGGATTTTCTCAAAGTAAACTCCAGCAAAGCCACTGGACAAACAGGCCGTGAGCACAGCCATCAGCCCCACAAACTGTGAGCCTGAAGACAGGATCGCCTGCTCAGAGTCCACTTCAGACTCTGTGGGCCACTGAGGAAGGGGAGGACAGAGAGAGTGCTTTACATGTGTATAACTCACTTATGACTTAAACATCTAAGAAGTCTATTAAGACATATTCCATGTTAATGAAGCAGATAAGCAGAAAAACCTGTGTTTTCTCAAATTGCTCAGGGACTTGGTGTCGCTGGTACCTGCACTAGAGTGACTCCAGCCATGAGGAACAGTAGGGAGAGCCACTGGTACAATCCTAACCTCTTCCCCAGCATGGAGACAGAAAACAGTGCTGTGGTGAGGATCTTCAACTGGTACGTAACCTATGTAGAGAACGACAGAAACACACCAGTAAGATAGAAAGCAAGGTAGTCAGGTATGGACAGGGGAACATCAGTTAGATACAAGGATTGTGGATAAGTCAAAAAGAGTCTTTCGTCCTGAAGTCTTTTGTCCAGTTATTTCGGACTACTTGCCTGCATGTCCTAATGAAGGGATTTGACTCTTTCTGAAAATCTAGAGGTTTTCGGTCAAGAATCAAAGGTAGATATATTCTGTACAAGTTCGAACAATGCCTTAACAAGCAGAAGCCTCTGTTTCTGAAAAGTTTGAAATGCGAAAGTGCCTATTCTTTAGAATGGCCAGTCCAACTGTATGGAAGTCGATGAGAAGATTGCTCTGCTTCTGACTTGATGTATTGCCTCCATAAACACTTTCCTAATGTCTTTATGGTCTTAATCACTGGTTTCAAGTCTTGTTCCCTAAAGGTGTTCATTTAGTTAATTATGGTGCCATTTAGAGGTTGGTTAAGGGTGGGACTAGCTTGTGATTGACAGGTCGTTACCACAACTTTGTGCGGTGCTGTTTGGGCGTTGTTATGGTTTCCTTCTTACAACTTTAACCCTTTCACAGTTTGTTTTCAGTCAATGGCAGTAAGTTGTAACATTTTGGTTGCATAACAAAAATATTTTCTCTACCCTCTGAGCTCACTTCAGGTTACAAAAATCCAAGATGGCGATGGCCAAAACAGTTGTCCGCAAACCAAAGGGGTGAAATCCATGTATGTATGAGGAGAACTGGATGCAGTGTTGGAGGCGGTACCCCGTTCAATCCAGCCTGTCGTCCTACAAAAAATGACCATATAGGCCGATTGTTCGTTTATTCACAAATAATCCTCTCTGGAAAATCCTAAATTGTGGAATAGTTTGGCCATTAAAATGCTTTTTGATTAGATTTCTAGCGAGAAGTGAATATTGTACTTTTATAATCTACGTCCAGTGGATGTGTAGGATCTATAGTTTGATAGATATTACGAAGATGATTTGAGGTCTCGCCAGGAGAACGTGTATATGGGGCAGCTTCCATGTAAAGTTAGCGTGGGTGAAAACAGTTTTTCAGGGTTGGCAGGGAAACGGGGTTCAGGGGGAGTGGCTGTACCCGTAGGATAGAAAAGGGGGAAGTGACGTCTGACTCAGAGGTCGCGCAGCTGTGGAGAAGAACGTGTTGCCCACATTCTGTTACTGAGTTTAGGCTAGTTAGCTAGCAGGTTTATTGTTTTGGGTGCAGTCACTTTTGCCTCCACTTGCTGTTCAAATAAAAGTGAAAGCTGTTTACAGTTCTGTTTCATATGGGTGTTGAGAGATGTATCCATAGATTTAGTCCCAATTTTGCTCTCAAAGTGCACCAGATTGATGCATTTAACTTCAACATTTAAAAAAAAAATCTTCCCGGGGGAGCATGCCCTTGGACCCCCCTAGAGGAGGTGAGGTCCACCACCTGCCCACACCCCCTGTTAAATTGTCTCACATTTCTTACAGTTTGTGAAAAGGTCTTCTGATCAGGGCTTTATAAATAAATATCTACGGCAGATATGTAATATTTAAGGAAGCCGAACCGTGGATTACAATGCCGTTATGTGATGACTTCCAAAGAGAAAAGCAAGAACACTCGGAATAAAGTATTATTTTATTTAAAAAAAATGTTTTTCCGATTTCATATCGGATAAACACCATATCCCGACATGCATTGCTGCAATTTTTTAGCTTATCAAAACATCTGAAAAAAGAAAGTTTTCTCAGAATCGAAAGAGA